AGAAGCACCACCCGCTACTGCACCCACCCGGGAGGACTGTGAATGCCGTGTCATTCCGGAATGAGGAGGTGCGCCTAATGACGGCAGTGGTTAAGGTGGTTGGACCCACCGGGAGCAGGAAAGTCCGAGCATTTGTGGACCCAGGTTCCCAGGCATCCTTTGTTTCCACAGCACTGGTTTCGGCCGTTGGAGCCAAGACCCTCAGCCATCAACGAGTGCGTGTGCAGGCATTTGGACATGACGAGTCCATGCAGTCAATGTCAGTCAAGGATATCAGCCTAGTGACGACCGAGCGAACCATCAAGGTCGAGGCCTTTGAGCAAGAGTCGCTGAGTTTGTCTCTGCCGAAACCATCTGCAGGCTGTGTGCAGCGTTGGAAGGAGAGAGGAATAGCGCTGAGTGATGTGGCTACACCTGGGGTCTCGGATGAGATCCATTTAATGATCGGTGCTGACCACGCGTTTGACCTCTTCCAAGAGAAACGGCAGAGTGGTGGAGAGACTGTCTGGCGGACGGACTTTGGCTGGCTGATTGTTGGGCCAGTGTGTGAGCCTGTACCCGGGAAGTCAGCAACGCGCACGGTGGGAGTCGTACAGTCTCAGATCGACCGACTCTGGGAAATGGAAGCGCCTGTGGGTCAGTCCAGCAACTGGCCAGCTTTCCCCATTGCCGTGGAAGACGGTCGTTTCAAGGTCGGGCTGTTATGGGCCAGTGAGGAGCGTCCACCGGACAATCGGTGGCAGGCGTTGGCAGCAGCGAATGCGCAGCTGAAGAAGCTGGGCCCAGACACCCCTGAGAGGCAGCGCTACGACGCAGTTTTGCTGGCCGAATACATGGCGCTGGGCGCAGTTGAAGTCGACCCAGACCCGGAGCAGGATGGGTATTATATGCCTCACCATGCTGTTTTCAAAGCTGAGTCGACAACAACGAAAGTCCGAGTTGTCTTCAATGCCTCAGCAGCGCTGAAGGGTAGGAAATCCCTGAATGATGTTCTGGACCCCGGTCCGTCTCTCCTACCGAGTATTTCTGGTTTGCTGCTGCGTTTCCGAGAGCGGGAAATTGCGATGCAGGCAGATATACGGAAGGCCTTCTTCATGGTCGGCCTGGAGGAAGCTGACCGTCGCTACGTCCGGTTTCTGTGGCCCAATGAGAAGGGCGAGATGACCACGTACCCGTTTGCCATTTGGTGTCAATTGCTCTCCGTTTATTTTGACGGCAATCCTGCAACACCATCTGGATGCCGAAGCAGAGCAGCTTGATCCCAAGTCACGCGAGCAACTGAACCACCTACGTGAAAGTCTCTATGTTGATGACTGCGTGGCCAGTGCATCCACTCCACAGGAAGCTGACGAATTCCGCGCGCAGAGTGTTCACAGCCTGAGTACTGTCGGCATGGATTTGCGCAAGTGGCGCATGAGTACTGATGAAGCCGCAGAAGAGTCTAAGGTCCTTGGCTGTACCTGGACGGTAACTGACGAGCTGTGCTTTCCAGTCGGCAAGACGGATGACGTCAAGTTGCCCTGGACGAAGCGCACGCTACTGAAGGCGGTAGCTTCTATTTACGACCCACTCGGATTCGTGTCGCCATATTCGCTGCAGGGCAAGATCCTGATGCAGGAACTCTGGAAGCTGGCAAGTGGTTGGGATCAGCCGCTGAGTGCAGAGTCAGCGAGTATCGCTATCAAGTGGTGGCAAGACCGTCATCTGCTTCCATCGCTATGTTTCCCACGTTGGCTAGGTGACAGAAGCGACGCGCCTGCAGTGCACCTGTTCTGTGATGCATCGGAGCTCGGTTATGGCTGTTGCATCTACTACGTGTTCGACGGAGTCAGCCGGCTAGTGTTTGCGAAGTCCAAGATGAGCCCGCTGAAAGCTCATACCTTGGCCCGCATGGAGCTGCAAGCAGCGTTCATCGGTGCCCGTTGTCTACAGTTTGTACTGGAGCAGTCATCCGTGTCACCAGCCACTGTGCACGCTTGGTCGGATTCTATGACAGTGATCCAGTGGTTGGCAGCACCGCCGTATCGCTGGAAGACATACGTCTCGAATCGTGTTAGCGAAATTCAAGCCATCGCTAAGCAGCACTCGGTTACGTGGTTGCACTGCCCTGGAGCTGACAACCCAGCTGATATCGCTAGTCGTGGTGCGTCTGTTACGGAGCTGATGGGAGATGTTTGGCAGCAGGGCCCAGCGTGGCTGCGAGATGGTCAGTTGCCGAGGAAGGAAGAACCAGTGCCTACTGACGAGTCGCAGATGGAGCTGCACGTCAAAGCAGTGCTGACACCTGATGCCAAGAACCAGTGGTGGCTTCGTTTGTCCAAGTGGACACGGGTCCAGGGAGTTGTTCGCCGGATGCTTTCCTGGAAGTACAAGGACGCAGCAGTTGTCAGTGCCAAGGCAGATCAGGTGCTGTTGAGAGCTATCCAGGAGGTGTGCTTTCCGGCAGAGTTGTCTGAGCTGCGCAATGGCCGTAGCGTACCGAAGTCGTCGAAGATTGGCCAGTTCAGCCCGTTCCTGGACAACGATGGTCTGATTCGTGCGACACTACGACTGCAGTTTGCCGACTTGGATCCCGACACGACGCACCCAGTACTGCTGGCCAAGCACTACCTGACAAGGCTGATGCTGACGAACGTCCATGTTAGCCGGCTCCACCAGGGTGTGGAGGCGTGCCTTGCGTTTGTGCGCCGCCGGTATCTGATTGTTGGTGGTCGACGCATGTTGCGTGCAGTCAAGGAGAAGTGTGTTGTCTGTCGTCGGGCTGATGCCCCTACTGCGTCTGAGAGAGCTGCACCGCTACCAGCTGATCGTGTGTTGCATCAGCGGCCGTTCTGCGTTGTCGGTGTCGATCACGCTGGCCCGCTGCTCGTCAAGGACCGCGGCGTATCCAGCAAGGTGTGGATTCTATTGTTTGTGTGCGCGACAACACGTGCAGTGCATCTTGAGCTTGTCGAGAGTCTGTCGGAGGAAGAGTTCCTCCTAGCGTATCGTCGTTTCGTCGCGAGATTCGGCAAGCCTACTCTAGTTCGGTCGGATAACGGCACAGCGTTCGCAGCTGCATCCCGACGTCTCGTCAGTTCAGTGGATTGGCGACTGAATGCCCCAGCAGCACCATGGCATGGTGGGTTCTTTGAACGGCTGGTTGCTATTGTCAAGTCCCCACTGCGGCGTGTGTTAGGCAAGTCGCTCCTATCCAAGACGGAGCTACGGACTCTGCTGTCGGAAGTCCAGGATGTCGTCAATGACCGTCCGATCACGTATGTCACGGAGGATGAAGACTTGCCGCTGTCTCCGTCGATGTTGCTGGGTGCTGCTAGTGTCCAGTCTGACTCGAATGCTGAGAGTTGCTTGTCTCACACTGATGCGAACCGTCGTCTGCAGTATCTTTCGCAGCTGAGAGTGCACTTCACTGCCCGATGGACTGAGGAGTATTTGTTGAGCCTCCGCAGTCACCATGACCGCAAGGGTCATTCACTAGCAGTTGGCGATGTCGTGTTCCTGGCAGATCATACCAAGAAGCGTGTGTGCTGGAAGTTGGCCAGAATACTGCAACTGCACACTGGTCGAGATGGCCGTCAGCGTGTCGCGAAGGTCCGAGTGAGCGGACATGAGTTGCTGCGGCCCATTCAGCGCTTGGTGCCGTTGGAGATCTCCAACCGTAATGAGTCACCAACTGCTGATGCTGATAGTGAGCCCGAGGATGTCGAGGATGTCGTGCCTACAAATAGGGCTGATGATCCAGAGGACGTGATTAGTGAGAAAGCCACACTCAAGCCACAGCCACAAGTGCAGCAACCGGTACGCACGCGTACACGTCTTGTGCAACGCCCTCAGAGGTATCGTGAGTGACTTGTGGATGTGTGAGATGTGCTTTGGTGGGGAGGATGTCGCAGACCGATACATTCTCTGTTTCGAGTTGTTTGCATGTGTATGTTGTGAGTGGATCACGATAGATTGAGACGCTCGAATTATTGCTAGAGTTTCTTACCTGAGATGTATTTTCGCTGCGATTGAAGTTCTGCTGCAGAAGTGTTAGGATTATTTACCACTACCTGACAGGGTTTGCTGTCACCCAGCGTCGGGTGCTAACACCCTCTGACAGGTGTAACCCTTCAGCTTCATTCTTTTCTTCTTTCTTTCACAACCGTATTTTGAATATTTCTGTTTGTTTGATTTTGTTCTGCACCTGGTCGTTGCTTGCAGACCAGTCGCCATCTTTTCTATAGTTACGCTGACTGTGCAGTCGCGTACTCATGACGTAGTAGTGTAGTGTGTCTTCTAGAAGCCGTGTCAGATTTGTTCTCTTGACCCTTTCGCTTTCTTTGACATCACGTATCCATATCTGTTTCACGGGAGCTTTTGTGAACCCGCGCGGTCGCGCGCATGGTTCCCCCGCATCTTGCTGTGTTGTACGATAATTTGGTACTACGTTATTTTCTTTATCCTTTTCTGGACATCTTGGTCCTTTCCGGGCCTTCTTGTTCAGGTTTTCTTGTCGTTTGTCTTTTGTCTCTTCGTCTTTCAATCGAGTGATTGTTGGAACCAGGTTGCCTACGATGTCTCCTACGACCCTTGTGTGAAGTATTATTGAAGAGCCTTGTTGGCCACAGTGACTGAGTGACTCGGTGACTCAGCGACTCGGTGACTGAGTGACTCGGTGACTGAGTGACTCGGTGACTGAGTGACTGAGTGACTCAGTGACTGAGTGACTCAGTGACTCAGTGACTCAATACAGCGCAGCACTATACACTATACAGTATACTGTAAAGCAGACATTTTCGGTGGTGTCATGTTTCCGGTATTCTCCAAAATCGGCGGTTCGGTGCAGGGAAATTTTCGGTAAAACCCGTTTTCCAGGTAAGTGTACTAGTACTACATGTATACAGTATGGGTTGTACCGAAATTTTCGGTGCGTTTTATTATCGGTAAAAATTGTTGGCACCGAAGTTACCGAAAATCAAACACCACCGAAAAGTTCTGCTTTGAAAGTATACACTCACATCAAGGTCGCTGTTCGTCAACATCTCCTTGCTAAGACGCTGCACATGACGTGCTCTGAACACAAACAGAAAAAAACAAGAACGGGCACACACACACGCGCGCACACAAACACAAACACACAACACATACACACACACACACACATGCACATACACACGTCCAATGACCACACATACACATACACACACACGCAGGCGCGCACGCACCCAAAACCGAGCATGCGTGGTTGAACACTAGCGTACAGAAATGCAAAACAGAGTACAAATTTTACATCAGAGTGCACATTGTATAACATTTTCTCACGAGACGAGCAAAGCATGACATCATCATAAAAATTATAGTATGCTTACCGTGCTTCCTCTCTCACTCTCATTTAGAAAAGCGATCCTGTCAGCTTTTCTATTATTGTGTTCACATGGCAAGAAAAACGACACCGCTATGCTACGTAACTTTCTACGTAAAGTGCTCGGTATTTCACTTAGGCTACGTAAGTCTCTACGTAAGGTGCTCGGTATTAGATCTACCAGCGGGTGGTAGCCGCGTGCTGTGCACGTGCACGGCAGACATTGTGTTGCAGTGCAGTCCGTGTTCGGATGTACATGCGCAAGGAACTTCCTTCTTTGGAACTGCTTCTTGTATGAGCTGTTTCGGATATTTCGACTCCTGGCCTGGCTTATTTCGTTTCGGTGCTGCTGAGACCTCCTTTCGCGGAATATTACTGACAGGTGAGTTGACCAGTTCCCTTTGATTCATTTGCTTGTGTTCACTCTTTCATTTACGAAAAGTGTGCTGATTTTGGGCGGAATGCAATAAATAATGGAAAAGCTGACAGGATCTCTTTTCTAAATTATTTAGCTTTTCCGCTGCCGAGGCCTCCTTTTACGGAATACTCGATGACAGGTGATTTCTGAGTTGACCGGTTTCCTTCGATTCATTTGCTTATGCTCACCCTTTCATTTACGGAAACGTGGGCTGATTTTATTCGGATTTAGATCCATTTTTATCTCTTTGCCCTTGCCTACAGTGTGCGAAGAAGGCGAGTTCACCTTCTTGACGGTAAGGCTTGTGTTAGATGTGTTGTCGAAATACTCATATTCATTGTACATTGGTACGTTACAAGTAAGGCACTGGTCAGTGGCATACTATCGTTGGCAGTTCCCAATCTGGAGGGAAAGGTTCAAGGACCCATTGACCGAATTTGCAAAATAAATTCGCATATCAGGGAAAATCTCCATTGTGGATAGGTTCAGTAAACTTGTTTGCTTCATACGAAACAAGCCAATGGGAGCAGTCTCGTCTCGTGAAGATCTCGTACTTGTATGATTGGATTTGTTTACTCGAGTCTGGGCTGTTTGATTTATTATTTGTAAGTACCGCCGAGATTGCACTGCCCCAAATAAAGTTTCGTGCCGCCAAAGCAAGAATTACGATCTGCAATCTGTTTGTAGTACATGTACCTGCAAGAATGTGCTGCACATGTATCGTACTTTCTCTGTTGCTGTTTCAGTTGCCGTCATGTTTCTAAAGAAAGGTTCAGTAGAGAGGTTCTGCAAAACGAAAATTCGAACGAAGTTTCGCGACAGTCCTTGCGAAAGTGTGTACGAATTTTGCGTTCTGCACATTTTCGTAGTTTGCGCGGGCCAAGTGCACGTACGCCATGACCCGATCTCACGAATTTTCCTACGACAGTTAATTTCGCGTTCCCTGCAAGTTTCGTGTCCAAAGTTGCGAAAGTTCGTGCGAAGTTTCGCACTTCATGAAGTAGAACGAAAGGTTGTACGCATTTTCGTTTTGCAGAACCTCTCTACGACTCATTTGTTTCATACGAGACGAGTCAATGAGTTGGTGTGGCTTAGAATCTTTCGCTGTGGAAGAAATCTATTCGTATGTCTATTGGAGAAATCATTGTATTCACTGGTTATAAATAGGTTAAGACAAACTCATAGAGTTAATACCATCGGTCCCTTGGTGTTCGTCCTAAAGAGGTTCGACTGGATATCATTCATACTCACCAAAAGATGTGTAAGATTTTATTATTATGGAGTGCCTTGTTTATCTCTCAGTACCTCCAACCATAGCCTTGCCCCTTTTATCCTCAGGATCAGTGTAGTTGTTGGAACGAGGTGTCGGACTCAGCAATGTATTTTGTTTACATTTTAATACATGTTTATTGTTCCTCCTTTGCTGTGTTGTTTTAGAATATCGTGGACCAACAGTTTGAAGTCATTGAACTACTTCCAAAAGTTCTATCGACAACAACAGGATTACGATTTCAGTGCAATATGATGCAGGATGACCTTATCACGATAAACCAATGATTATAAACCATTTTAAACACAGAATCAACAAAAAACATCTGCGACACGCACCTGGTTACATTTCTCAAATAAATCTGATCGAGGGTGGGGAAATCTGAAATATCTGAAAGGCAAGACAATTTTATGACAGAGTCATGAAATTCTGCTACAGCAACATGCACAGAATGACCTCCGTATAAAAAAAGTATCACCGCGGTCCACCACTACGTACTCACATGTTTCCCCGTAGAAGAACATGCTATGCCATTTTCTGCAAGAAAAGGCTTGCACATCAAGGCGTATAATACGGTATTGATATGATCAAGAGTACATAAACCGTTTATGTACTCTATTATTATTATTATTTTATTTATTTTACTAGGGTGTTTCCCACAGACCTATGGTCTTCTTACGGGAGCCCCTAGAAAGGTTAAGCATGAACGAACAAATGGGCGATGTGAAGGCCATCATTTAGTTTAAATTTACATATTGATATAGTATAGGGCATTCCATTGATTGGTGACAGAAAAAACAAAAGAAATTATAGCAATAAAAACTGCTTCATGGCAGTTTTCTAAAAAAAGTTATTGTGTTCTAGTCCATGGACCACGTCTAAAAAGTAAGAAATTAACGAAATGTGATAGCCGAAAATTAAAATTTCACACAAAACCTCACAATAATCACACACAGAATGAAAAGCTACATGTAGAAGACCTTTTCCCCTCGTGATCCTCTTTCCTATGCATGCATGACATGCATGTTGCCAATTGTTGGTGCAGTACAAGTTTAGTGTTGAAAGCAGCATTTCAAGTGTTGTGATTATTGTGAGGTTTTGTGTGAAATTTTAATTTTCGGCTATCACATTTCGTTAATTTCTTACTTTTTAGACGTGGTCCATGGACTAGAACACAATAACTTTTTTTAGAAAACTGCCATGAAGCAGTTTTTATTGCTATAATACGGACTGCATCGTTCTCATCCGGACACTGCGCAGTGTAAACCGCAAACACATACGAGCAGACACAGAACATACGTGTGTCCACGGAGGCATAGAACATAATTAGCCCATTGTGCAATGATGTAATTTGCACCGCGAACACCCCACACAGCCACCTGGGCATGGTCGTCTGGGGTGTTGAACAGTGCATTGCTGATCCCAGTGTACTCACATAACACCCCACACAGCCACCTGGGCATGGTCGTCTGCGGTGTTGAACAGTGCATTGCTGATCCCAGCGTACTCACATAACACCCCACACAGCCACCTGGGCATGGTCGTCTGGGGTGTTGAACAGTGCATTGCTGATCCCATTGTACTCACATAACACCCCACACAGCCACCTGGGCATGGTCGTCTGCGGTGTTGAACAGTGCATTGCTGATCCCAGTGTACTCACATAACACCCCACACAGCCACCTGGGCATGGTCGTCTGCGGTGTTGAACAGTGCATTGCTGATCCCAGTGTACTCACATAACACCCCACACAGCCACCTGGGCATGGTCGTCTGCGGTGTTGAACAGTGCATTGCTGATCCCAGCGTACTCACATAACACCCCACACAGCCACCTGGGCATGGTCGTCTGCGGTGTTGAACAGTGCATTGCTGATCCCAGTGTACTCACATAACACCCCACACAGCCACCTGGGCAAAGTCGTCTGCGGTGTTGAACAGTGCATTGCTGATCCCAGCGTACTCACATAACACCCCACACAGCCACCTGGGTATGGTCGTCTGCGGTGTTGAACAGTGCATTGCTGATCCCAGCGTACTCACATAACACCCCACACAGCCACCTGGGCATGGTCGTCTGGGGTGTTGAACAGTGCATTGCTGATCCCAGTGTACTCACATGCATTACTCACACCTTCCATATTTGGCAATGCACAATGGGCTTATTGTCAGGGCTGTTACTTTCTGGGAGTAGAAACCCGAACAAGTCAACAAGTCAACGAGTCGGGGGGGGGGGGGGGTAGACGGACCTGCCCGGATTAGGGACGCCCGAATTATTTGTACATTGCACACAACCCTACTAAGGAAGAGTTTGACAGGAAGCAGGAAGGAGCAACGACATAAAAACGTCAGGGGCCATTGTGGCTGTGCCAGTGAGGTGCACCTAGCTCAGCCGACAGACTGTCTCTCGGCTTCATTGCCAAGCCCACGCACTGAAGAAAGAGAGCCTTGAAAAAGGGGAAACAGCGGAGAGAAATGAATAGAAAAGAAAAGAGGAAAAGGACATAAGGGATACGAGTTAATTAAGAGTAACCGTCCACCACTGTAACTAGATACTATATACAGTCAGAAAGTGCAACAACACTCGTATCCTTATGTCCTTTTTTTCCTTTCTATACAGTCAACTTCGCTAATAACGACTGCGGATATAACAACAATTCGTGAATAACGACAGAATTTCCATGCCCAGAGCAAAGTCCCATCTTACTGTAATACATATAATGAGAGTTCGGGTATAGGGACACTTCGCGAATAATGACACTTTTCTGATGCCCCGCCGCCGAGTGTCGTTATACGTAAAGTTGACTGTATTTATTATTGGCTCAACATCCGACTTTCAAAAAGAAAACATGAAAAGAAATGCAAAAAGAATCTGCAGAGTTTCACGCTGTACCTTTCTGTAGAATCGAGGTATGTGCTGGTAAGTGGATGCTGCAGCGGCGGCAGCAGTCGGCGTATGCCAGTCAGCAATGCACTGCGCCGTCATCTGCTCCACGTCCGCCTCCGATGCGGCCGACACTGCAGCCGGTAGCCCGGCACCATCACCATCACCATCACCACCACCATCATCACCAGCACCACCATCACCAGCACTGGTACTGGTACCTGGATCAGAACAAAAGCGAACGCAGAGTCTTTTTTTTGAACAAGCAACGAGGGAGAATGAAGTTGAAGACACCACTGCAGCTGTACTTATGGTTGATAAATATGGTGGTAAAGACACACCTGGTAATATGGCGGTAAACGCACGCCTGCCCACACACGCTCTCTAGGCTACAAAAAAAAGTCGCAATCGAGCTATGTCGTTGCTGTGTCATCATCTATGTGCCATGCGCTACTTGATGTACCAGCCTGCTATGCCGGATACTGCCAGCGACGAGGGGACAATACAGTAAAACCTGTCAAGGTGACCACCTGTCCTAGAAGACCACCTGTCCTAGAAGACCACCTGTCCTAGAAGACCACCTGTCCTAGAAGACCACCTGTCCTAGAAGACCACCTGTCCTAGAAGACCACCTGTCCTAGAAGACTACCTGTCCTAGAGGACCACCTGTCCTAGAAGACCACCTGTCCTAGAAGACCACCTGTCCTAGAAGACCACCTGTCCTAGAAGACCACCTGTCCTAGAAGACCACTGCAACAAGGATCAAGGGATGCTATTACCTGTCAAATGACCCTGGATAAGGAGACCACCTGGTAACAGAGACCACGTTTTGAAGGCCCCTGGAGCCGTCGTCTCAGACAGGTTTCACTGTAGTTTTAATAGTGCAATCAACTGGACAAGCTGCATCCACATACAATTAAATACTTTATTAAATTAGAAGAAGAAAAGAGGACCAAAGAGCTACAAGTTACGTTATAATATCCACAAACACCACTGCAGTTACTTTACAATAAGCTCATGCGATAACATTGCACGACACTGACCGACGGTACTGACGTTCTACACATAACTGGCAATCAGCTCTAGCACATCTCAGCTCTAGCGCATCTTGTAATGTAACTGCAGTGGTGTTAGTGGATATTATAGCGTAACTTGTAGCTCTTTGGCCCTCTTTTCTTCTTATAAATGAATCCTTGGCTCTCCACCCGAGCCTAATTTACTAAAATTAGTAACAAAAATTCTGCTAGAAGAAATATGTAGACAGTCAAAAACCCTGGTACTGTATATATTCAAATTTTCGGCAGCTATTAAATTTCGGCTATATTCGGCACCGACCCAAAACGCCTAAATTAAAACGCCGATGAAATTTTTCACAGCATCTGTCGCACTATACCATGTACCATGCCTTCTACCCCAAGCCGAAAATAAATCGCCGCCGAAATGTCAAAAATCGTGAAGTGCCGAAATTGTGCAGCGCCGAAATTTTGTATATTTACAGTATGTCGATCCAGCTTGTACTATTGATTGCGTTTTGAAACTAGAGTCTTTCTCATTTTCTTTTTCACTGTGAACACAGCTCTGCTGGGAAACATGTGGCCAAGAACAACACAAAACAAGACACAGAGGTTGTAGGAAATACGTGACCGACGCACTGAGAGCCACTCGACCAACCAGAGGTCTCGGCGCTAGCCTCGCAATCAGGCATCGGGAGCGTGTACAACGAAGGGAATGGCGGGGTGGCGGGGTGAATCATTGAATGCATTCGATGAATATTTTCGGCGAAGTAAAGACACTTTGACTCATGTCGACTCCCAGGAAATGCAGCGCACGTTGCCGAACCTTATCCAGCTGGGTGCAGACAGAACAACACTGCAGCCGTTGAAGTATCCGGTCATAGTAACGACGAATCACGAGCATGACCGACAAGACTGTTGGGTGACAGCCAGGTGGGTATTCGGCAAGTGACGGGAGTCGTCCACACCACTCGCCAATGCATTGCCGGATCACCAAGATCACTCATAGATCAGATCATTTCTGTACGCTAGTGCTCAACCACGCAGGCGCGCACGCACCCAAAACCGAGCATGCGTGGTTGAGCACTAGCGTACAGAAATGCAAAACAGAGTACATATTTTACATCAGAGTGAACATTGTATAACATTTTCTCACGAGACGAGCAAAGCATGACAATGACATCATCATAATAATTACAGTAAGCTTACCGTGCTTCCTCTCTCACTCTCATACGGACTGCATCGTTCTCATCCGGACACTGAACAGTGTAAACCGCAAACACATACGAGCAGACACAGAACATACGTGTGTCCACGGAGGCATAGAACATTATAAGCCCATTGTGCAATGATGTAATTTGTACCATGAACACCCCACACAGCCACCTGGGCATGGTCGTCTGCGGTGTTGAACAGTGCATTGCTGATCCCAGTGTACTCACATAACACCCCACACAGCCGCCTGGGCATGGTCGTCTGCGGTGTTGAACAGTGCATTGCTGATCCCAGCGTACTCACATAACACCCCACACAGCCACCTAGTACCTGGGCATGGTCGTCTACGGTGTTGAACAGTGCATTGCTGATCCCAGCGTACTCACATAACACCCCACACAGCCACCTGGGCATGGTCGTCTGCGGTGTTGAACAGTGCATTGCTGATCCCAGCGTACTCACATAACTCCCCACACAGCCACCTGGGCATGGTCGTCTACGGTGTTGAACAGTGCATTGCTGATCCCAGCGTACTCACAAAACACCCCACACAGCCACCTGGGCATGGTCGTCTGCGGTGTTGAACAGTGCATTGCTGATCCCAGCGTACTCACATAACACCCCACACAGCCACCTGGGCATAGTCGTCTACGGTGTTGAACAGTGCATTGCTGGTCCCAGTGTACTCACATGCATTACTCATACCTTCCATATTTGGCAATGCACAATGGGCTTATTGTCAGGGCTGTTACTTTCTGGGAGTAGAAACCCGAACAAGTCAACAAGTCAACGAGTCGGGGGGGGGGGGGGGGTAGACGGACCTGCCCGGATTAGGGACGCCCGAATTATTTGTACATTGCACACAACCCTACTAAGGAAGAGTTTGACAGGAAGCTGGAAGGAGCAACGACATAAAAACGTTAGGGGCCATGGTGGCTGTGCCAGTGAGGTGCACCTAGCTCAGCCGACAGACTGTCTCTCGGCTTCATTGCCAAGCCCACGCACTGAAGAAAGAGAGCCTTGAAAAAGGGGAAACAGCGGAGAGAAAGGAATAGAAAAGAAAAGAGGAAAAGGACATAAGGGATACAAGTTAATTAAGAGTAACCGTCCACCACTGTAACTAGATACTATAATTATACAGTCAGAAAGTGCAACAACACTCGTATCCTTATGTCCTTTTTTTTCCTTTCTATACAGTCAACTTCGTTAATAACGACTGCGGATATAACAACAATTCGTGAATAACGACAGAATTTCCATGCCCAGAGCAAAGTCCCATCTAACTGTAATACATATAATGAGAGTTCGGGTATAGGGACACTTCGCGAATAATGACACTTTTCTGATGCCCCGCCGAGTGTCGTTATACGCAAAGTTCACTGTATTTATTATTTGCTCAACATCCGAGTTTCAAAAAGAAGACATGAAAAGAAATGCAAAAGAATCTGCAGAGTTTCACACTGTACCTTTCTGTAGAATCGAGGTATGTGCTGGTAAATGGATGCTGCAGCGGCGGCAGCAGTCGGCGTGTGCCAGTCGGCAATGCACTGCGCCGTCATCTGCTCCACGTCCGCCTCCGATGCGGCCGACACTGCAGCCGGTAGCCCGGCACCATCACCACCAGCATCATCACCATCACTGGTACTGGTACCTGGATCAGAACAAAAGCGAACGCAGAGTCTTTTTTTTGAACAAGCAACGAGGGGACAATACAGTAAAACCTGTCAAGGTGACCACCTGTCCTAGAAGACCACCTGTCCTAGAAGACCACCTGTCCTAGAAGACCACCTGTCCTAGAAGACCACCTGTCCTAGAAGACCACCTGTCCTAGAAGACCACCTGTCCTAGAAGACCACCTGTCCTAGAAGACCACCTGTCCTAGAAGACCACCTGTCCCAGAAGACCACCTGTCCTAGAAGACCACCTGTCCTAGAAGACCACCTGTCCTAGAAGACCACCTGTCCTAGAAGACCACCTGTCCCAGAAGACCACCTGTGCTTCTAGAAGACCACCTGTCCTAGAAGACCACCTGTCCTAGAAGACCACCTGTCCTAGAAGACCACCTGTCCTAGAAGACCACCTGTCCTAGAAGACCACCTGTCCTAGAAGACCACCTGTCCTAGAAGACCACCTGTCCTAGAAGACCACCTGTCCTAGAAGACCACCTGTCCTAGAAGACCACCTGTCCTAGAAGACCACCTGTCCTAGAAGACCACTGCAACAAGGATCAAGGGATGCTATTACCTGCCAAATGACCCTCGATAAGGAGACCACCTGGTAACAGAGACCACATTTTGAAGGTCCCTGGAGCGGTCGTCTCAGACAGGTTTGACTGTAGTTTCAATAGTGCAATCAACTGGACAAGCTGCTGCATACACATACAATTAAATACTTTAGTAAATTAGAAGAAGAAAAAGAGGACCAAAGAGCTACAAGTTACGCTATAATATCCACAAACACCACTGCAGTTACTTTACAATAAGCTTTTGCGATAACATTGCACAACACTGACCGACGGTACTGACGTTCTACACCTAACTGGCAATCAGCTCTAGCACATCTCAGCTCTAGCGCATCTTGTAATGTAACTGGTGGTGTTAGTGGATATTATAGCGTAACTTGTAGCTCTTTGGCCCTCTTTTCTTCTTATAAATGAATCCTTGGCTCTCCACCCGAGCCTAATTTACTAAAATTAGTAACAAAAATTCTGCTAGAAGAAATATGTAGACAGTCAAAAACCCTGGTACTGTATATATTCAAATTTTCGGCAGCTATTAAATTTCGGCTATATTCGGCACCGACCCAAAACGCCTAAATTAAAACGCCGATGAAATTTTTCACAGCATCTGTCGCACTATACCATGTACCATGCCTTCTACCCCAAGCCGAAAATAAATCGCCGCCGAAATGTCAAAAATCGTGAAGTGCCGAAATTGTGCAGCGCCGAAATTTTGTATATTTACAGTATGTCGATCCAGCTTGTACTATTGATTGCGTTTTGAAACTAGAGTCTTTCTCATTTTCTTTTTCACTGTGAACACAGCTCTGCTGGGAAACATGTGGCCAAGAACAACACAAAACAAGACACAGAGGTTGTAGGAAATACGTGACCGACGCACTGAGAGCCACTCGACCAACCAGAGGTCTCGGCGCTAGCCTCGCAATCAGGCATCGGGAGCGTGTACAACGAAGGGAATGGCGGGGTGGCGGGGTGAATCATTGAATGCATTCGATGAATATTTTCGGCGAAGTAAAGACACTTTGACTCATGTCGACTCCCAGGAAATGCAGCGCACGTTGCCGAACCTTATCCAGCTGGGTGCAGACAGAACAACACTGCAGCCGTTGAAGTATCCGGTCATAGTAACGACGAATCACGAGCATGACCGACAAGACTGTTGGGTGACAGCCAGGTGGGTATTCGGCAAGTGACGGGAGTCGTCCACACCACTCGCCAATGCATTGCCGGATCACCAAGATCACTCGCTGCATGGCTAACTGTGCCGCATGTTGCCAATTTCAGTCCGTTCTTTTGTGCAAACTAATCGTCGCCAAAGAAATCCAACCCTTGAAAGTAGCGCCAAGGCTCATACGGCTCATGCGGCCCTCGGACCAGTTTTGGGAACATGCATGATGTACTGGTTAATGAAATGGAGACGTGGCACTAGTTTTTGGCTCGCGGGTTGGCAATAGTTTTGGCTCGCGGGTTGGCACTAGTTTTGGCTCGCGGGTTGGCACTAGTTTTGGCTCGCGGGTTGGCACTAGTTTTGGCTCGCGGGTTGGCACTAGTTTTTTGGATTTCTTTGCCCAAGACTGTATGTGCATGGAAACAAAATAATTAAAACAAACAAAACGTAAAAAAAATACACAAGTAGCTGAATTGCTTCACCGTACCCTTAGTAGGGTGTTCGGACGATTTTGAAAGTTGCTCCAATCTCCTCGATTTTAGTCTCATTGGAAAGAGTAGGATAAACTAGCCGGGAAATATATGAGGTTTGTCTAAATTCCGACCAGACGTTCAAGAGTTATGATCGTTTGAAGTGCGCTTGTTGGCACTTTTTCTGGAACAGTTTTGATGCAGGCCAGTGGCACAAAACCGGGAAATTCAAAACCAACTAGAACAAGGTGAAAATCAATTTCGTTCAGGGTCTTTCAAATTTCCACAGATGATAGCCAATAGAGAGCTTCCATCACTTGACCAATTTTTTGGTATTCCAATTAGCCAAATTCAAATTACGCCCATAGCAACCACCATAGCAACGCGTACAAATTAGTCGAAATAGATGCGAAAGATGTAACCCTTCACAGGCTGAAGCTAATTGGAATACGGGTACTACAAAGACACATCACCAGGAGGAGATTACAGTTATCTACCCCATGTAGATGAAGCATCCAAGAAAATAACATACGCACTCAGCCGAGACGGCACCCGCACCCGGGCATGTTGCGCCGCGGGACCGGATGCATGCAGCCAATTAACAGGTATGCTGCACCATTTCAACACGATGTAAGCTTCAGCCAGGCCAAGGCAGCAGCAGTCCTGCTAATCATCAGCTTTAGAAGGACAACTTGCTCCCAGTCATATACGGCGCGTGCAGCACTTCGGGGCAATTGGTGTCGCACGTCACATGTAATTCATTCATACGATTCGCACAATCAACAGACAGTTCATTTATCGGATGATTGTGCAAGCGTAATTTGGATGTAAATTATAAAGTCGACAAATACACTGGTCCTACATCATGTACATTGCCCATGCTATGTGGATGACAATGTACTCCAGACACGGTGCATACGGCATTGCGTAGCTGCACTGCGTTAGCGCGCTGCAATTTTGAAAATCCTCTGAGTGTCAATTCTGTGCAGATTTTCAGCTGCATATTGAACGCAGTATTGGCAGGAAATCTGCTCTTGACCAATTTGTCTGCACAATGGCTTTCTCCACTCTCCAGATACAGCGACCAGAGATTTATCTGATGTGGTAGCTCAGCGAAACTACAAATAAACAGCACTACAGCCAAGTCCATCAACTCCATGTACATGTACATGTACATGATTGTACATGTACTCCATACATTTGGTATCCTGGCGCAAATCGATCGCTCATAGAACAAGAAGACAGCATCGTACAACCTCCAAATTTCACACACTGCGTAGTTTTTCGACGCTGAAGACGATGGAATAGTCGCCGGCGTTGCGACCGGCCCAGAACAGGCCGAAATCGATACCCTGAAGTTGCGCAGGGCATAACATTGCTAAAATTCGTCGTGTGGAAACGGGACTTACGGTCTCAACAGCAGAGACATCTCCTCTTTCCAACAAAGAAACAAACTCGTCCTGAGCTGCTAAAATTTTACCTTGCCAAGGCAAGAAGCACAGTGATGTACGATTGTGCCACGGACCCCGTACAAAACTGTTTCCACTCAAAATGCGCCTGGGTTCGAGCACCGAACACCCTACCCTTAGCTTCGACGAATTGCTGCAGCCTTTGCTCCCAGGACATCGTTGCCATATTCTGTGTGTGTGTGTGTGGCACAAGCTGATTGTAGCCCGCGTGGTATTAGCTACTAGCCACTATTGTAGGCCAATAATTGGTACCTGATGGAGAGATCCTCGCTCGCGAGCTGAGATCAGCACCACACGCAGGTAATACGTTGTTCAGTCCTGCAGCCGGCTACATTGCTACAGTGCGCTCACGTACGCCTACAAGTAGATGCGCTGCCGTCAGAGACCCCGGAGCAGCAGCGGGTTGTTGGAGAGAAATGACATGGAGAGAGTGGCTCTTGAAAGTTTGGAGTCACAGTTTTGTCCCCAGCAATGCACAAGCTGCTGTTGCCTTACTTCACAACGACCACACTGGCACTGCTTGCGGCGTTGAACGTCTGCAAAAAAAACTCTCCAGTCCCAGGCTCCGCACTGGGCCATTGGTTGAATCGTATTGTTTTGATTGACATTGCAGCGAACAATTTTAGCTGGTTGAAACTCGCCTCAGTTCTCATCATCCTAGTCTTTGCATGTAGTTGCGTAGGCAAGGTTGTTTTATCAGCGCGCGCTCAGCAGTCAGAAGAAATAAGTTTTGCGATCAAAAGATTCAAAACACAAAACAAACGCGCTTTCCGCGGGCCATGGCCAGATGACGGCCCAGCGGCCAGATCTGCACGACTCACCGGTCTACGCTGCGGGTGAGTACTACTAGTACTACAATAGACCGATCCCCTTATTATTGTCTGGGTTCGAGCAAGGGGGCAACTCCGCAGTCGCGTGGGATCCTGCTGCACACACGCGACCAACCCCACCACGACTGTGCGTGACTTCTCGCATGCGAAGTGCAGAGCACACGAGATC